CATATACAGAGTAGCACATTAAAGGAGGTATGCCTGTGTGCATATACAGAGTAGCCATGGGAGGGGAAGTAGCTGCTGGTGACTGTTGTTACGATGTATCTGAACACACCAGTCTGAAGAGGTGCAAGGAGGATGGCTCACCTATCCAGGTGGAAAGCTGCGATCTCTGCATTATGCCTCTCGTAGTCGGAGAAATAAAAGAAGTCAGGGGGTGTCTCCTGCTCCCTTGTTTGTCTGGAGAAAATAGGATGAAACAGAAAGCATTTATTGCTGAGAACACTTTCTGGTCAAGCAGGGTGAGCTAGGTCCAAGGAACTAGATTCTCATGGAGTTTGCAAGCTGGCTGCTGAACAGGGTCATTTCAGAACTTAAATAATACAAATTTTCAATGAAGCGAAGTATTAAACACAAAGGTAACCAATATTTTACTTCTCTGAGCCGCCCTTCTCCTAGCTGGAGGGTCCTCCATTCAGGTTGGACAGACTCCTGTGTCCTCTTGTCTGTTGGGAAGATCCCAGGAGTTAGAACACCCCACCTCTGCTTTGATGCCTCTCTCTGAGGTCACCATGACCCTAGTACTGAGCTGACTCAGGTTCCAGTCGCTCCTTCTTAGCCACATGGGCTCAAAGCTGCTCCTGGACCTGCCAGGGCCAGGTATGGGCCTCCACATGACCCAGGTCTGGCTCTGCACTGCCAGTTGGGACTTGGTGCACCCTTAGAGGAAGGAACCAGACCGCACCTCCCCCCTCCACCCCAGTCCACGCTAATGTTCTCATGTCCCTAATTTTCTGCTTATACAAAGGTCTCTAAGGAATGCTCACAAGTTCTCTGTAAGCAGGCATGAGCCACAGCAACTTTTTGGGTCTGTAAACATAAGTGCTTGACCTTAAATTGGACATGTCCATTTTTAGCTCCTAACACTGAGGTATGGCGCTATAGGTTAATGCACCAGACTGCAAAGCCGTTTGAACTGCGAGGTTAGCGGTTCAAGCTCACCAGCTGCTCCTCAGAAACCTTATACAGGGTCACTATGGGTCGGAACCTACTCGACGGCACTTAACAACTTAATTACAACACTGAGTTTGAGAACAGACTCCCTCCTACATGAAACAGAAGCCCGTTTTCTGTTTCTGTCTCCACTTTTTGGGTGAACTCCTCCAGGCCAGCCCCAGAGGGGAAATTCAGCTCTCAAACTAGTCAGAATTTACCAGGAGAAAATTGGCCGTGGTCTGTCCAGGTGCTAACACCACAGTGATAAAATCTAGGGTCTCTATGTGATCGGCCCAGACTTTCCGCATCCAGGTCATTCTGGTCTAGCTTGAATGTACAGCGATGTGAGACTTACTACCCTTCCTACAGTCAACTTCTCCCACTATGTGACTTTCTTCCAGAGCTCCTCTGAACACAACTATTTCTTGGCCATGGGGTGACCCACAGACTGGAACCAGGATGGAGTCCTAACCCCAAGTTCCCTCACCTCCTGTGTGTTCTCAGAAATCAACAGGACAGGAAGATACCATCTAACCCATGCTTCCAGAATGTTACTCTCCTGAGTAAGGGATTTCTTGGTCAGCCCTTCTAAGAACCTGTTTGTTCCTCTGGGAACAAATGGTTTCTTATGACCTTGTGCTGTGATGCTTGGCTGGCCTCTCACTGGGGACGTTGTTGGGGCTGGAGTTTACTCCAAGAATCACAGCCCGTCCACCTGTGTCCAATGAGCATACCTTAGTTTACTGTGCTTCACAACGCTGCTTTAAAAAAAACAAATAGAAGGTTTGTGGCAACCTTGTGTCAAGCAAGTCTATTGGCACAATTTTTCCAATCACATGTGCTCATGACATGTCTCTGTGTCCCATTTTGGCCATTATCACAATATTTGAAACTTTTTCATAATGCCATTGTACATTTAATGGACTGCAAACGTAACTTTTATACACATGGGAAGACCGAAAACTTTCTGAGACTCACTTCATTACTGCGGTGCTTTGGAAATGAATCCACAATATCTTCAAGGTGGGCACACTCCCTCCCTCAGCTCCTGTGGTTTGGTTTTGATTTTGTCTGTGTTGTAACTAGGCCGTATTCTCTTTGAAGAATACTGGCCCCAAGCATTCATTGCTGGGGTGGTCAGTGCTCACTGCCCAGAGCACACACCCCTAGGACCTTTCCAGTGCTGTGGATCTTGGAAGAATCTCATCCAGAGTGTGGACTCCAGTTCCCGCTCAGAGGCAGAGACCCCCAGAGACATGTTCTCACCCGCCCAGATCACTGCCTGGAGTGCCCCCTGGTGCAGCCTGGACTTGGGGTTAGACTCCTGGCCCTGTGCTGACCACGGGACTTTCTATGGTACGTCCTTGTCTGTATTGTCCAGCGACATGGCAGTTGCTGGTCATGTGTGGCTGCTGAGAACCTGGAAAATGTAACTGAGGAAGTGACCTTTATGTTTGATTTTATTAGTGGTTACTAATTGGGCTGCGAACCTCAAGGTCGGCAGTTCGAAACTACCAGCTGTTCTGCGGTAGAAAGATGAGGCTTTCTGCTCATGTAAAGATTTACAGCCTCGGAAACCCTGTACAGGGTCGCTATGGGTCGGAATTGACTCAACAGCACTTAACAACAACAACAATCTACATACAAGTAGCCACATGTGTCTAGTGCCCACCCGATTGGGCCTTTTGGGACTCTCTGACCTGTCCTTCTATCAGAGATGTGTCTGTCCCTTGCTTGCCTCTGTCTGCCATCTGCACAACTATAGGACCACTGGGGTCAACCTGCTCTCTGGCCTCCTGACCCCTGTACAACCCTTCCCATTTTATCACTCAGGCCCCACCCTTGGCTCCTGCCTCCAGGCAGCCACTAAAGAATTCCTCAGGTTTCTCTCTCCTCTCTGGTCTCTTAACTACCTGCCCCCAGGTGGCAAGGATCTGTAGAACATGCACAGGTACACTGAGCCTGGGAGCTACCTACGTACACTGCAAAGTGTACTCATACTACCTGAGGCCTTGCTCACAGAGGCAGCCACCAAGCTTTTATCACAGAGAGCTTCATCTGGACAGACAACACCCACAGGCATATCTGTCTCAGCTCTGCTACCAACCGACCTGTGAGCCATGAGCTCTGAGCTGTAGACCCTTGGCTCTGAAAAAGAGGCGGAGCTGGTGCCCAGGGAGGCGTGCAGAGGCTAGGCACACTGTCGGCACTCAATGCATGCTGGACCAACATCTGCATGCATGACCCTGGAAGGACATAACTCACACACATATTCAAACATACATACACATTCACATATTCATAACCCTCTACATACTCATACATACAAGGGGGCTTCAAAATTTCATGGAAAAATTCTAGTCTCTTTTAATTCATTTTTCCATGAACTTTTTGTAAGCACCCTTGTGCATACACATACCCTCGTTCACACACTAGAACCCACCTACACTCACATACAGTCACTCACACACACACATGTACACAAATACTCAGCACGCATGTATAGTCACACTCATACATGCACGCACACATACACACCCATTTACACACTTACGCCCACCGTCACCACTCCCAGTGGAAAAGAACCATCCACCAGAGTGCTTCTGAGAGGACAGGGCATGAAGACCACTCCACAGGCAGAACAGCCCAACACTGGACCAGAGCCAGGCACCCCAGGCAGCCAGGCAAGAAGGAGAGATGCCAGGAGTAAGTGGCTAAGACCAGCCTGTTAGGGTCTTGGGGTACTAGGCAATCTCCCATCCTCACCTTTCTCCATACTGGCCCTCCCTACAACCCAAGTGGAAGACTCTTCTCCAGCCCCTACCCTCTTCACTGTCCTAGCCTCGTGCTATGTCCTCCAGTATGGCCTTTGGTATGGGGGCCCTCTGTGTACCCTCTCTACCAACTGGCCTAGCCCTGGGGGCCCTGCTGACATTTTGAGACAGACCCAGTTGTTCTGCAGAGCTCGAAAGAGTCACAATGGACACCACTGTTTGCTAGACCAGAGAGGAAGTGCCTAAAGCCTGGTGTGTCCTGTCCTCCAGCCACATGAACTTTGCCAAGTGCTTGGTATATAACAGGTGATTCATAAATAAACTAATGAATGAGAAATTGATGGAAGAAATGCAGAGAGAAGCGGTAGGGAGGGAATACATCTCTATGCAGACTGGAGCTCTTCCTGCCCTCATTTCTTCAATTTCCATTGTATCATTAACACCTTCACTAACTTACCACCACCAGCATTAACATCATTGCCAGCATCCCCAACACGGCCATCATCACCACCATGACCACCATTATCACCATCACCTCCATCACCACCTCCACCATTAGTACCATCTACATATCACTATGACCATCATCACCACCATTATCAACCATCACCTCTATTACCACCTCCACCATCAGCACCATCTACATCATCACCATGACCAGTACCACCATTATCAACCATCACCTCCATCACCACCTCTACCATCACCATTACCATCACCACCATCAGTATTATCACCACCACCATCACTACCGCCATCACCACCATCACCACCACCATCGCTCTACCATCTCCACCACCCCATCACATCATTTCCACCACTAATGTTGCTTACACTTACTGAACGCTTATTACCTGATATACAGTGCCAAAATCTGTGATGCTTTCAACAAGTGAACATTTCTGTTTGCTAATGTTTTGGCCTTTATTCCTGTCTCCTCCTCCTCTGCCTCTCAGCAGGCCTCACACCTGCAGTCCAGAGACCTGCTCCTCTGAGAAGTGCCCAGGGCCAGGTCCCAGAATAATCCTCTCCCCTCATCTCACACCTCAGGGCTTTCCAGTGACCTACTTCCCGGGTTGTTCACAGAAAGAGGCAGTCCTGTCCCAACCCAGCCTGAAACAGCCTGCCTGGGGCATGTCACAGCTGACCTGTATTACCTTCCTGTAGGTAAGTCTGCCAGTTCTCTCTCCTGGAACGTTCAAGGAAGCTAGATCAGTGGCAGTGCAATGTGCTTTTAGCTATGTTCCCACTGACCTTCCTCTTGCCCCAAAGGGCCTCCAAAACACTCTTGGGGCTTTTGTGTCCCTTGGGGAGGCCTCCCCAATGCACCCTCAACCCACTGTGATCCCAGACAACAAGTGCATCCTCTTTCACCTCCCACATGCACTTCATTGCCAGCTCCTTAACCTCTGTGGGTTGTGATACTGTAGCCCAGCTGATGGTGAGGGTGGAGCTGACAGAGCCAAGGGG